ATATGACGAACATCATCAGAGCAAGGTATCATCGTCACAACAAAATGCAAGCTAACGAGTCAAGAAAACTTATCCACGAAGCCCGCAGTGATGGCTCAAAGTAATTAGGATAGCAAAAAGGAACGTCCTTGCCATGCTGTCATATGGCAAAGTAGTCATCTATATACCTAACTAACAATTTGGCTGCCAAATTCACCCCTTCCACGAAGTGTTTCTCAATTCTTATTATTAGCTAAAATTGAAGTCAAGCAAGATCCCATTGCTAGGCCTTGCACCTGTTCATAAAACTTATCACTAAATATTAAGTATGTGCTACTCATTGATAGATTGAGAAGCCTTAAGATTAAGCTTTTGCTCAGATATGCTTCAATAATTTCTGGGTGCTTATCTAAGCTTAGTGTAAGTACTTCAATGGCCTTATGAACTGGGATATTAGTATAAATTGATACCACATAAAAATAACCAAAAGATACTTCTCTTTAATACTCTGCTGATCTATTAAGTTAGCAAATTCATATGAATTCTTTACTGAATATTTTCAATACTCAGCAACTTTCCTTAACTGTTTGCATAAGAAATGTGAAATCCTATGCATCACAATTCCCTTATTAATAGCAATCAAGCTCAAAGAAACTCAAGTATTGTGTATTTTTGAAAGGCCCTAAGCCAAAGAGGCCAGATATAGGGTATATATACCGCTTTTTAGGGATTTGCCGGTGAGTTATCTTGACCCTTTAGCCTGAAATTGGTTGTGACGATGATACCTTGCTCTGATGATGTTCGTCATATGACGGACGAAATCTTAGCACCTCTTCACTGGAATCGAAGATGATAACTTAGGAAACAGAGTCACCATGAATGTTCCAGTAAAACCAATCGACAAATGGCCTGAAGGAATTCGCCGTCGCCTTATGTTGGAATCGACCTTAGAATCTCTCCACCAAACGCGTTAACTTGAAATAGAAGTAAGCTCAAAAATGTAGGGATACCCATTCCCACAAGGATTAAACATAGAGAATTTGATGCAATATTTTAGCTAGACACTAAACGGTTAATCATACACATCTTAGGAGTTTTTTTTTGGATATAAGACTATTCAAAGTAAGCGAGTAGCTCATAGTCAACACCTACCTGCACAGCAATCTATCGTCTTCGGCCTGCTCCTCACACGAGGTGTTCACGACACAAGAAACTTCCTGGCCACACAGAGCCTCTCGTCCGAAATCAATGCGGTCAATGCTTCCTACAGCACAAGGTTGCGAAGTCGATGGAGAAATCGGCCTTGATGGACGCTTATCTGTGAACTCATTCATCACAGGCTGGCAGCACGAGAAAGCAAGTGGCTGCTGAGCTTCAGCCGCAGTTAGGTGCGAAAAATTCCAATTTTTACGCATTGTGGCTAAGAAAGAACATAAAGTGTAAGCCAATCA